AAGTTCCAGTCTTTCTAGTGTTAATAAAATATAAATTATTAGAAATTGGATTTATTATATCGCTTCAAATATTAGGCATAGCTGTTTATTTCTCAAATTGTTGCTTTTGGTGTATATATACAGCATAAGTCTACTTTCTATTGTCTGAATATCTGCTCCACTTACTGTGTTTTCTCACGATAATTACAGAAGCATCCCCTATTTGAACGTTCGCCCGCCTCCCGTTCTGCATACGGGGATTGACTGAAATCATTTTTTACAGGTCTGGTAAACAAGCGATAGGTCTCCCGATGGCAAACGTCTTCCTCGACGACAAATTCCTCAAATATTTATCTGTCTTTCCCCGGGAACCCTTCTTCAATCGTTGTCGCCGCCCCTCGTACCACCGAAATGCCGCTTCCGTTTCACGCTCGCCGCGCGGAGCGTGTCAATCCCGTCGTCGTCGTCGTCGACGTCGCCGCGCGAATCGACGTATGACAAATACCGCGTCCCCGTCGCCGCTCGCGCTCTCTTGTCAGACCTGACAACCCAGGACAAAAGGACGAGACGAGACGGAAGAAAAGATTCGCAGGGGGTGTCGCCTAGTCACCGAGGTCTCGCCGTTTCTTCTGCCCTCCGACGATCGTTGCCTCCTTCATAAAACGTCGCGCATGAGATTGTATGTACACTTCCTTCGCGTGTGCCGCGAAACCTCAATAGCCTCAAATTTGTGTACTTTCCGAAACTTGGCCGGCATTCGAACGATAGTCTTCCACGAATCAAGCGTGTGCTTTTAACATAGATTGTCTTTGCGAACATCTAGTCTACCCGGCGGATTAGGCTGCCTGCTCCTGACATGCTAGTTCCCAATTAATTTATTTTTCCCTAGTCGACCGTTAATTGTTAAACTTAGATGGGCGGTCGTCGCCAATCCCGCAGTTAAACGATGAAGAAAAGAGAGGAGACGGTACGAACAATCCAAGGTGGGGACGGGACGGGAAGGCGGGAAGGGACAAGGGAGAAAGTTAGATACTGAGCGAGCGAGGAAGAAGACTTGAACGTACTGGAGGGAGGCAGGATGGTGTGGAAAATTTGTCAGTCGCCGGGAGACTGGGGAAACAAGAGAGAATCGAGAAGTTCGGAAGGGGATCGAGGCAGGAAGCCAAGGCGTGACACGAACAGTGGATTGGGTTACCGAGATAATTAGAATGATGATTAGGAGCGGAGCACGCCTGGTTGACCAATTCTTTCCTTGGGCCGTCAACTCCGACTCGAGTCGCCTTCCAGAGATCAGCTTTCTTTCAAGGGGTAGACTGAATGGGACGAAAGAGTAAATAACGCCGCAATTATCAGGCGAAACTTTGCGTTCGAGCTTCCAATTAATTCGGCGATCATTTAAGATACATCAGTTTTTAAACGTATTATAAGTACGAACATGTTTGCCTTTACTAATATTCAGTAACGGTGCGATCTGAGTGCACGTTGATTCCGGGTTGAGGAGATTAAAACAACACGAGTAGCTGGTGCAGTGGTCAGAGGACAGGTATAGTTGGGTAACGGGGACTACGAGGCAGGATGAGTAAAAGGGTTCAGGAGGCTAGATCAGTTAGAATTTGGAGTAGTGTGTATGTATGACGTTTGTGACAAGATGAGAGATTTCTATCATGTTTATACTGTGGTATCTGTGGTGGTGATGAGTTCGGTCATAGAACAGTATCTGCATTGATCGTATAACAGGACATCCAAAACAAATTCCAATTTCAACCTGTATAAGATGATACTGTAATCATGAATCTAAATACACACTATCCAAGTGAACAGCAGTATAACTGTGAACCTCGATTACATGGTTCCATCGATTACTTACAATTCACCACAATCCATCCATCCCTTACTGATCTCTAATCAGACAACGTTCCTATTTTCCATTTTTCGACACTATATTAGTTTATTATGTTTTTCATTAGTAGTTGTATATCTTGCGCTACCTTTTATAGCAGCACGGTTTGGTTCTAAACTCTCTTTGAATAAAGTTCTTACGTTCACTATCTTCGTTGTAATTTGGG